GTTTAAAACCATGAAAATTTAAAAAAGAAAGTGACTATTATATGCTGAATTTCAGAGAAAATATCTTTTAAAATACTTTATTGAAAAATTTAGCAAAATTCATTTTAAACAAAAACATTCTGTGATATCAAGGTAAACTAAGCCATTCTTCAGGACACAATATATAATTGTCATTTCTTTGGCAAAAGGATTCTATGGTGTTTTAAAAGTATTTTTAGCAGAATCCTAGAATCAACTCTATAAAAGCCAGAAAGAAATCTGGTTTCTATTCAGTTTGATTTCAGTTGAGTTATGATAAAGTTGCTGAGTTTCATTTGGTTTTAACTGAACATAGTTGTTAATAATTTGGAAAATAATCAATCTAGACTAGGAATGTGAGGTGGAATATGGGTTCTGGAAGCCCTTCAGAAATTACTTCGTGTGAGAAAAACACACGTAAGGGCCTTGGTGGTGCAGCAGACTAAAGTGCTGTTAAATAGCACCATCTGCTTGCAATTACTGCAAGTTCAAATCTCACCAGGCTCAAGGTTGACTCAGCCTTCTATCCTTTCGAGGTAGGTAAAATGAGGACCCGGATTATGGGGGCAATAAACTGACTTTGTATAAAAAAGAACACCGCAGGGGGGGAGGGGGGCAAAGCCCTACTAAGCAGGTATATATACAAAAGTATGAAGGCTATTGCTTAACTCATTGTAAGCCGCCCTGAATCTCTGGAGAAGGGCGGCATATAAATCGAACTAATAAATAAATAAAAAGTGCAATCCTCTATAGCAGGGGTGTCAAATTCAAGGTCCACGGGGTGCTTAGATCTGGCACACTGAGCTGCCCTAGAAACAGCAAAGGACTGGCCTGCAGTGCCTCTGCCAGCGAAAATGGAATTCGGGAGAGCTGAGCCCTCCCAAGCTCCATTTTTGCTGGCAGAGGGTTGCAGGCTGTCGCAGCCAACAACGGAGCTTGGGAGCCCGTTTTTGCTGGCAGACTGCTTGGGTCACCACAGGTGCCTCCAACATGAGTGACATTGAGGTGGCCATGCCCCCCCCTTGTCCCCCCAATGTCAATCACAACCCTGATGCCCCCGTCAATGAAATCGAATTTGACTCCCCTGCTCTATAGGGATGCAAAATGTTCTGGAAACCATTGAAGGCAGCCTGGAACAGAGAACAGAGAAAGTAGTAGTGCACTTGGAAATGAACATAATCTGCTCCCATTGTTATTGTAGACATATATTTTAATCTCTAGTAAATGACATGGATGGGAAGCCCGGCCTTCCTCCATATATGAGATGCCAGCTGTGTGACTGCCAACATTTTCTCTATCTACAAATAAGTCAAGGTGGCTGGAGTCCACACTGAGGCATAGCTAAAAACTGGAAGGTGGCATAATAAAGGTGGAGATCCTGAAGATAGAACCATAATGGTTTTACACTTGTTGAAATTCATGGAGCCTTTGATATATCAAAATTCTTGAACTGAAAATGGCCTTTTCTGTTCTACAGGAAAAACAATGATATGGCCAAGTTGCAATATGGAAATAGGTTTAAGGATTTAAGGACACCTATTAGGGAAATAGGGAGCCACTGTGTTTGGCAGGCAGATAGGACTTGCAAGGTATTTTTTTCTATCCAAGAGAGGTTCGTAGAGATGAAGGAGCCTGGTGGTGCAGTGGACTAAACTACTATTAAAGTAGTATTCAGCTGCCAGCTGCCTGCAATTACTGCGAGTTCAATTCTCACCAGGCTCAAGGTTGACTCAGCCTTCCATCCTTCCGAGGTAGGTAAAATGAGGACCCGGTTTGTGGGGGCAATAAGCTGATTTTGTATAAAACAGAACACCGCTTAGGGAGGGCCAAAAGCCCTACTAAGCAGGTATATATAAAAAGTATGAAGGCTATTGCTTAAAAGCATTGTAAGCCGCCCTGAGTCTCCGGAAAAGGGCGGCATATAAATCAAACTAATAAATAAACTAATAAATTTCTAAGGTTGCCAAAAAGTTCTGCATTTGTTCTCATCCCCTCAAAGAAGAGCAAACTGGATGCAGGTACAAACAGACAATTTTAGGGAATGAAGCAAGAGTTCTAGCAGCTGGTTACTAAAACATACAGGTGGGGGAAAGACAATGTCTTAAGTATTGGATCATTCCCAATGGCCAGCTTTACCCTATCCCAGGCTTCAAAGCCTCTGCTTTACATCAATTGGAGTCCATAGTGCTGGGCTTAACGACTATAAATCCCATGCAAATCGTGACTACTAAGGAGCCTCTTTCTGTAGTCTCGTGGTTCTATGCCTTTCAATCCTTTTGACTTTTGACCCATTATTATTGATGGTTTTACTTGAAGCATACTCCAGAGTCCAAATCAGAATCTGGAGCTCCAAGGTGCTGAAGTTTCAATGGATTAAGAAAGGAAGAATCAGTTGAATTGTTACCGTATGGAAAAAGACACGAGCAGATGAACTAGTTTAACATCAAAGGTCAAGAATGGGGATAGTATCCCATGTTCATAATGGGAAATACCAGTGGCTTTCTTTAGTTTGAAATGGCAGAGTCCCTTTATTTTTCTGTTGATTCTCAATAATTTTCTAATGAAGTAATGTGCAAAAGGAAGATGGGCCCAACATTCCAGAATACATGATTGTTCAAGATAATTTTTTGAGCTAGCCAATTACTACTGAGTTTATGCTCAAATATAGTGATATTTAGCACTCAAGTTGCATCTAACCTAGAACAACAAACTAAGATGGTGTGGTCTGAGAAGTGCTGGACTGAATGTAAGCAGCTAAAAACAACCCTCAGTTGTTATCCTGTGCTATATTCTAAAACAGAATATAGTCTATTCCAGATGATGCCTTAACCATTGTTGTTTTTGAGAGATGCAATCCTTGATTAATCAACTAAATACAAAGAAAGCCTAATCAGGTGGAATTTCTGAATAAAAAACAACTGGAGAGGGATTTATATGTCAGAAAAAGAAAATTGGCTGGGTAACGTTTGCTCACTTGGATTACTTAGGAAGGGCCAGAGGTCTTCAGAGGTCGTGGTAGCAGTTTATAGTTTTGGGACCATTGCTGCTGCTCTACTTTTGTTGTTTGAACCTTCTTGACTTTTTGCTTCTTTTTAGCATTTCTTTTCTTCTTTAAGTCTTTAAACTATTTTCCCCACTACTTTTCTCCCAGCTCTTATTTCTAGTCTCCTAACAACCAGTTACAGCAGTTGAGATCCAAGAATAAGTCTTTTTTTTTTTTTACTTCTCATCTCCAGTTCTGCTTCATGGAGGAAACTTTTGTTTTTCCAAGGCACTAGCCCAGGGGAGTCAAACATGTGTTGTCATAGTGGTGTCATGTGATGTTTCATGACTTTTCTCTCCTTTGCTAAACTGGGCGTGGCCATGGCCAGCACTTGACGCATCCAGCCCCTCAGGTCGCAAGTTTGACAGCCCTACACTAGCCCATTCCCACCAGTACTCAGCATTTTTCTTCATTGAGGGAGTCCTTAAACTGGTCAGGTGGGAGAAAAGGCATAGGCAACTCTATTTTTTCCTCTCAGATACATGTATCTCTGTATCATAGATACATAGATCTCTATATCATTACATAAATCCAATAATTGAGGGATATTGCCTACCTCTTTTTTTTTCTTGGTGCTTTCAAGTCACTGTTAACTCTTGGAGATTGCCTGACAAAACCCTGCAGTTTTCTTAGCAAGATTTTCAGAAGTGGTTTTCCACTGTTTCTTTTCTAGGGCTGAGAGTGGCTCACTGATCCAAAGTCACACAGCTGGATTTGTGACTAAGTGGGACTAGAACTCATGGTATTTCACTTTCTATCTTAAGCCCTAACTACTATATCAGATTGCCTCTCCTACCTTGCTTATGTAACGTTATTGTGTGTGCATTCTATTAGTGCACACTAATAGAATACTTTTATTTAGATAATAGATACTTCTATTAAGTATCAAGACTTCACATAATTGTGCATCTCACAAATTTTCCTTGGAAACATAAAGTGATCTCAAACTAGCACTGATCACCTTGTTCCCCTGTAATATTGGGTGGTGATGTGGGAAGAATATTATGAGCCATCAAATATTACTCCCCTTAAAGAAAAGAAAAAAGTAATTGTTAATTACTTATTGGCCCCAGAAGAAATAAAACAGTTTGGCTGCAATTAAGAATACAATTCCGGAACAGCAATAGATCTATCTCAGTGGTGGGATTCAGCCAGTTTGTGCCACTTCAGGAGAACCGGTTGTGAACTTTCTGAGCAGTTTGGCAAACTGGTTGTTGGAAGAAATCATTAGGGCAGAGAACCAGTTGTTAAATTACTTGAATCCCACCACTGATCTATCTGCCACATCCAGGTACAAATAGATATTTTATAAAAAGTGAAATTGAAACTCAGTTAACATAAAATAGATCAGGGTAACTGATTTTATGAGAATATAGTAATGTTTCTTTCAAGCTTTTCCTATTAAAATTTATTCAATAATATTTCTGATACGTTGGATACCATGTGACTAAAACTGAGTTTAGAACATTTATACAAAACCATCTTTTAATTTTTATGAAGATTATATACAGAGCAAAAGTCAATTTTTAATGACCATCTAGCATTAGCATAAGTCTGTAAATATAAAATCTGCCATGCCATGTTTTTAAACATGAATCCTGAGAAAGAGTGGAACGTATTTATAACATTGACTAGAAGAATAAAATCCTGTAATTATTAAAATAGTTAAATAGCTTGTATGTTCTTTTACAGAACAATGAGGGGAAAAAGGCAACAGGGGTATATTTAGCAAATTACCCTGAATACACATTGGAAACCTGTACATTTTTAGAAAAATAAAATAGCAGGCTATTTGCCACAGTAAAAACAAAAGCATCAAACAGATGCAGAGGAAATTCAGTTTTAACCATAAGGACCTGGCAATTTTGGTTGCAGCCATCTAATGGTTAAATCAATTCAATAACTTCAAACTCTTACAAATTAAACTCTTGCAATCAAACTCTTGCAAATTAAATTTATGGGAACTGCTTATTGACAGGCACAGTGATTTTAAGGTTCGCATTAGAAACAAAATACCAAGTCTAAAACATTATAGGCCTTTCTCAAGGGCAAAACAGAATGTCCTTTTAACTTGGGTATTTCGGATTGATTTTTCTCCAAACTGTTAATTCCCTTTTGATATTAAGAAGTTACTTTTATGAAGGCAGCAAAACAAGATACATGAAGTCCAAGCTGGACATAAAATCTTCTCATCATGGAATGCAGTACTATGTTCAGTAAGTCTATGAATTTTCTTTTTATTTCCATGTGGCAAAAGTGCATAGAAGTGTGATAATGCTGAAGAAATAAGTATCCTTTCACATTATTCAGTATACTATTTTTCATACTTCTCTCAGGTCTGTCAGTTGACCGCCAGTTTTATGGGTAAAAATATATTCTTGCAGCAGTCTGGAACACTGTTATGAAGTCTTTTTAAAGTATTTTTTCTTGTTCTTAATGTCGTTCGTCTTCTTCATCTGCTTCCTCAATGACCTGAATCTCATCTGTTTGACATAAGGAGTTTTTTTCTGACTGTTCATTTTCTTCTGGTTTATTTAGTTCCTCTTCTTCAATTATTTTCTTCCACATTTTATGGTTTTCGTTCAAATGGTATATTAGTTGACTAAATATTTCCTGTCCGTTTTTTCTTCTTTGTAATTCTGCAAAAGAAAACATTTTTTTCAAACTCACTTCAAATAAATAACACATTTTTAGAAAATAAACCATATGTTCAATTTATGTCCTGTTTTAAAGAAAAGGGGGGGAGGAGAGGAGAAAAAAGAGGTCAGTTATCATTTGGAAGTTACAGGAGAAAATATTAAGAAATAAGCAAGCTTCCTAGATAATGTATAATGGTGACATTCTATTGCAATATCTTCTTTTATGAAAGTACAGGTAGACCTCGAGAACAGATCATTTAGTGACTTTGTTCAAGGTTACAATGGCACTGTAAAAAGTGATTTATGACCATTTTTCACACTTCCGACCATTGCAGCATCTTCATGGTCACATGATCAAAATTCAGTTTCTTGGCAACAGATTCATATTTATGATGGTTGCAGTGTCCTAGGATCATGTGATCATCTTTTGTGATCCTTTGGACAAGCAAAGTCAATGAAGAAACCAGATTCACTTAACAACCATGTCACTAACTTAAGAACTGCAGTGATTCACTTAATAATTTTTTTTAAAAAAAATTTTATATGCCACCCTCCTCCGGAGACTCAGGGCGGCTTACAATGCGTTAAGCAATAGCCTTCATACTTTTGTATATTTTATACAAAGTCAGCTTATTGCCCCCACAAACCGGCTCCTCATTTTACCCACCTTAGAAAGGATGGAAGGCTGAGTCGACCTTGAGCCTGGTAAGAATTAACTCGCAGTAATTACAGGCAGCTGGATGTTAAATGCTGCCTTAGTAGGAGGCATTAGCCTCCACTCAGGCATAGAAATGTTGTAACATGAGGGAAAATTCACTTAACAAATGTCTCACTTAGCAACTGAAAATTTGGGCTCAATTGTCTTCGTAAGTCGAGGACTACGTATAACTGAAATAAAATTGTCCATAAAAGCATTTACTCTTACTTGTTCCTAAATCTTCCATTTCGTCTTCGCTATCCTCTTCTGCATCACAATCTTCAGAGCTTTCCCTCTCATCTCTTTCAATCCATCTTCCTGGAAGCAAGCCGGCTGCATCGTAAGAATTGCAAAGAGGACCAACAATGTTGGTAATAAAAGATTCTTGTAATTTGGCAAGTTGAGGAGAATGTCGGTTCATAAAAGGGCTAATAGGTAGCCCCAGGTTTGCTTCTTCATCTCCCTGGAAATTTATACATACAAAACACTTAGGACAGATTGGACAGAAAACTAGAAGAAAAAAAGGGGACTTCTTCCCATAATCTTACCTAGTGTTACAAAGAGCCAAAATAACTAGATCTTGCTTTTAAAATTGCATTACACTTAGACACTCTCTAAACAGATGAAATAGGATATAAAAGATGGACAAGTTCTATGATAAATTATCTTCACACAAATAATGGTCTAATAGAGGAATAGGTAGCTTGCAGGCTTTTTATTACTTATATTCTAGCTTTTGGCATGATTTTAGATCCCTCTGTAAAAGAATACACTTAAAACATTTTAAGATTCAATTTTATGCAAATAGTCATTCCGTAAACAAGATTATTTGCATTATTTTCTCATATATGTTCTGCTTACACAAGTTTACCTGTTCATAAAATTCATTGATAATTCCCTCTGTCCATTTCAGGTGTAGATCTCTAATTTTGGCTGGACCATTGATATCTGCAAGCTTGATGCATATCTGACATATTAACAGTCGATCGCTTTCATTACTCCATTCAATACCATGTCCATTCATGTTTACCTATTTAGAATGGAGACAAAGGCATAAATTGAACATTTTCTTCAATCCCTTCATAGCTTTCATATATAAAATTAAAATATTTTGGGAGTTTCTTATATAAAGGGACAGTTTAATTTGTTCATATATTCTGCAGTATTCATGTGTAATTTGAACTAATTCCTAGACATATGGCTTCCTTCCAAGGAAAGAGGCATGGGTTCACACTTATTTGTGATTTAAGTATCACTGAATGCAGTAAATTGAACGTCTGCCTGCCTGCCTATCTAAAGTATTTTTAAACAATTTCACTGTTGAGATACACCTCTTTGTTCCTGTCTGGCATTTGCACTTAATACTTGCAGAAAAAAACCACTGAATTCAGCAAATAATTAAAAACACACAATCCACTGAAATTTATTTATGTTCAGTTACCTGTATAAATATTTGTATAAGACAATAATAACTGCATCACATTAGCCAACTTGACAGCCACTCTTCAAGGAATTTTATAGCGCACTCATAAATCTTCATTGATTTCCTGAATAACAGCAAAGAAAGGGCCTGCTTGACCTCAAGAAACAAAAAATGCCACCTCCTTCCAGAATAAGAATACTTAATATGACTACTTGGCTTGTATGAGTTGGGCAGGCAGATCCTACGTGGAGGAGAGCACCCCCAAAAACTGAGCTATTAAGGATATTTTAAGTAATGTCCCACATATTGAAATGGGCCCAGAACTCAAAACAATAATACTGCCTCCACAATACTGGTATCACTCTGAGGCACTGGTTTCAATCAGTCTGGAAGTAAGGGATTATGTTTAATTCATGCTGTAAATTTCAAGTAATGTTCAAGAATAGTCCCACGTAAAGCAAATTACAGTAGTGGGAGATGAAAGGTCATGATTCACTATAGACAGCATCTCTAGGAGCCGAGGTGGCGCAGTGGTTAGAGTGCAGTACTGCAGCTACTTCATCTGACTGCTAGTTCAGCAGATCAGCGGATCAAATCTCACCGTCTCAAGTTGACTCATCCTTCCATCCTTCCGAAGTGGGTAAAATGAGGACCCAGATTGTTGGGGGCAATATGCTATTTAGTATACTGTCTTTGGTGTAAGCCGCCCAGAGTTCTTGGAGAGTGGGCAGCATAGAAATATGAATAATAAAATAAATAAAATAAAAATAAATAAATCTGATCTTAAAAAAGGTTGTAATTGGTGCGCGAGCAGGAACAGGCCAGTGTGTCTTCTGGCCATGACTCCTATTCCTGCTGCTCTAGCAGAAGCCACAAGTCTAGGAAAACCTGATGGAGTACCAGCTTGTCAAGAGCTAAAGATGGAACTAACCTATTAGCAGAGGGCCTATACAAAAACAGCACTTTTATCTTGCTACAATTCATTCTGAATTTGTTCCTTCCCAGCTAATCCTTCACACCTCCAGGCAGTGAATCAAGATTTCCATTTCATGATGGAATGAATAAACTGAACACTTTACAATATACACATATACATAATTTCCAACTTCCACTCAGAGCAATTATGAAATCCACCATTTAAAAACAAATCCTATGATACAATCAAAGATACCCTGATTCATCATAGACTTTTAACAATAAAATTTAGATTAGATTTCTCAAACTGCAAAACTCACTTAAAAACTTAAAATAATCATAAAACACACATGAATTATCTACTACAAAACAGATCCTGCTAATAGTTCTTAGCTAAAATTCCTCAAAGGTATCACAATAAGAAACTGATCTCAGTGTTTTCTCTATTATCACTCAGGTGACCCTATTACAGAATTCACTGATATCATGCATAGATCAAGAATCTCTATATCTGCATATCTTCCAGCATGATATATATTATTTGCTTAACACATTTTATACAGAATAAATTAGCCAGTCACTATTGTATATAAAAGAATAAAAGAACAAACCAGCTCTCAGATAGGGCAATATATTAAACAGCCTAGAATTTGGATTACTCCAAAATGAGTGGAGATTATCTCTGCTATGCCACGTAGCTTATAAATAATTAAAGTGCCAATTCTTGTGAAGAGAATTCGTCTGAGCAAGAATCTCTTAAGAAGTTCAACATCTTTCTGATGATTAATTGAATTGAGGCCAACTGTTCTTTCCAGAATAAAAATCTTAATCAAATCCCCAGTGCATAAATATCTGTCACACCAAACAACTGCTTGGTGAATGGGTATTATTAAGATTTCATTATCATTATTTGTAATTTCAGAATTTCATTCCCCTTGATATCACTGCTGATCCTGTCTCTAGATTATAATTTATATGCCTGATTAAATGAATTATAAGATTAGAAAAGCAAATCACAATAAACTTGTGCTTTTTCCCTTTTCTATAAGTTATTCTTGTTTTTTGTTTCTATTCTGAGAGATGAACAAATTTGTAATCCATTACATTTGATCAGTAATTATGAATTTGGCACGTCAAAGTGAATTGGTATATAATAGCCAAGAAATTTAGGATATGGGTTAGAAAGAGTTGTTAAATACAAATTAAATACAAATTTCCCAGTCATACTTAGAAATTTGTATAGAAACAGGACTGTATGATTTCACTAGTACCCTCTCCTCAACTAACTGTAACTGCTCTTTCCCAATGGAGAGTATCATTCCCCCAATAACAATAATGTGAAATATGCAATCTATGATCTAGGCCATATAACAATGCACCATATAATAACATGTAGAGCAGTGGTGGGTTGCTCCTGGTTCTGTCCGGTTCTTTAGAACCAGTAGTAAAAGCGATGGGAGGCTCCACCCACCCGCCATAATTGACGATCTGCGCATGCGCATGTGCACGCTCCTGTTGCGAACCGGTAGTAAAGGTAAGTAGAACCACTCCTGATGTAGAGGGAGAAAATGTAGTTGGCATCATAGTCTTAACTGAAGCCAAAGTTTGCTGGCTATAGAAGGAAATTACTTAGAAATTTCTGAAAACATAGAACTAAGGACCTAATTTACCCTTTTTACAGCAAGTGTATTAAAAGCTACCTGTACCATTCTAGGAAGTACTGATGGACTGGGAAGATTACCACAGAAGAATTGTTGTGATATTCATCCTAATCCTTCTTGCACTACCACCTAAATATATGAGGCTTGTTCTACCCCACAGTAGGACTACTTTTCTTCCTGGTTTTATATGGTTCTATGTTCATGATTCTTAATGCAATGTAAAAGTGTACAGGAACAAATAAAATATGTGACAGCTGGATAAGGAATTACTTTTTCAACATGCCCTAATGTAACACATTCAAAAGCCATTCAAAACCTATTTATATGTGGCTAAAATGTGAAATTTATTGGTCTTTATGCAGTTTAAGCACATTTACATGTATGAGTGAAACAATTTGATTATATTTTGGTTGGATTAATTTATCTTTGTTCTAAATTTTTCATTTATTTATAAACCTTTTCTTTATATACTGTAAATAACATAAATTAATAAGCAAAAATTTAAATACGTAGTATACAATATTGCCTAAACTATGTAACATACATACACACTGTATATTTCTATAGATTTCTATAAATATGAATAAATAATATTAAGTAGAACAACAAACCTTGGAATTAAATTCAGCAAGAAAATCAAAATGTTTCTTGAGATCTGTTGCAAGGATTGCTTCAATCACTAAGAATCGAAATCGTTTGAACTGCACGTGGTCAAGATTAGACAGAAAATTGTATTCCGGTAGTGATAAGAAGAGGCTCCATGCAGAGGCTGCATGATGATTTTCTAGAACTGATCTATCATTGTATAACACAGCCTGAAAAATAATTAGTACAAATATTTTAAAGAGTGTCATTTGACAAAACCGGAATAGCCAATTTATTTTATCACTGAGAAATTTAATAAAGCGGTCATGGGAAATATTATGCTAAACAATTAGATATACATCACCTGAGTTGGATCTAGCAAACATAGACTAAGTTTAGTTTTCTATTCTTAAGGAAGAACCATGTTCAAATAAACCATAGAAGCATCTACTTAGTCATTCTTCTCCACCTTCTTGAAAAGAGAGGGAAAAGCTGAAGCAGGGAGGGGGAAGCTTAAAGCCAAATCTTCAAAGCACAGATTTTTGGTGAAAAAGAGAAGAACCAAACAATATTATAGAGTGAAAAAAGGGCTAAAACAACTAGTCCTCTTCTGTGATCTGGCTATTTTAGCATCCGATTCACAGTGATCATGGGTGTGTCAGTTGTGCACCATCAGGTGTGTAACTATATTGTGGAGACAGAACAATCTGCAATAATTATAGCTGTCTCGCTAAGCAACTTTGATGCTTTACCTCTAGTGATGTGTGGAGTGTGGGTTGCCTTTAGGACACCAGGAGTTTTTATGCTTTTTTTTTTACTGTTTTTACTTTTTGTTTATCGATTTATTTATTTAAGGAAATTTATATGGCCACCCAACTCACTCTCAGTGACTATTGTTATGTTGCATAAAATAGAGGACTATATGTATTTTTAAATAAATACATAAAGCCATCAGATTACATCAGGATTTCAAAACTGCAATGACAGTTAACTTGATACATAAAGCAGGACAAATTTCATTTCAATTGCTCCTGGGCTTCAAAGAAATTATCTGAAATGGGAACATTTTAATGATCCTGATGATCAGATGATTTCCTGCTGAGATTGATGCAATGAAGCCTATTCTGCCCTTGTATGGCCAAAGGGCCAATCTGGATGGTTCCAAAGACTCATAGTTTTCAAAAGATTATTGAATATAAGAATTGTTGAGGCTCTGGTCTTAGATTAGAATGAGATCTCAAAGATACTTTTTCAGGAGGCAACTAGACTTTCTTGTTTTTTACTTTGGAGAACACTCTCTGAACGGTATGGAAGTACAAACAGATTTCCAGAAAAAAATGCAGACTACAAGAACCATTTGCACTTCAGTTTACGATGCAGACAACACAGACTCATCCCCAAGAGCCTACACTTGTCTTCAACAGTGAAGGGACAAAGGGCAGAAAACATCCTGTAGCCAAGAAGGCTCCACACCCATTTGCACTACTCAGGTGATCCTGAGGATACAGATAAACATCCAAATGGCCTCAATTACTCTCTAAAAGAATGACCAGCTGTCTGCAAGGAATATAAATCCTTCCATTCCCCACCAGCCAGTCAGAGCTGAAGAAGCTTCTTGGATGAGAAGCGAAACGTTTTTTTAAAAAAACAAGAAAGTCCATTGCCTCCTGAAAAAGCACCTTTGGGAAAACAATGACCTGGATAACTGAGAAACTCCATAGATTAGACTGAGATAAAACAGTTTGTCGGCACTTCAAAGTACCCTTCCTAACATCTTAAAATCAATATTACATCCTGACTGTCATGGGAATCATTAGTGATACAGGCATTATATTTAAAGCATACTCACCGCAAAAGTGTACATTTATACTTAGAAGTAAGCAGCATGCTGGCAATTTTGTGGATGATATCACATTAATCAGCTTGATTAAAAAAAACTTTCCAGAAAGAGTTTCAGAATGATTTCATTAAATAAGGTGATGGTCAGCTAAATAATGAATTGTTTAGTTCAAGTGAATGTAATGTTATATACGTTGTAGGGAGAGCCTTAACCTCATGTATATTCTAATGGGAACTGAGCTGCCTATAACTAGCCAGGTAATGGGATTATTACTATGTCACCAGAATGTGCAGAAGCTATGAAAAATGCAAATTTCATCATAGGAATCATTAGGAAAGGGACTGAAAATAAAACAAGTGATAATGCAGTGCCCTTACAAAAATGGACATCCATCTATCTCTGAAATATTGTGTACATTTCTGGTTGCCACGCTGAAATTAAAATGATTAGGAAATTCAAATGCATTTCCTACAAGAAAAGTTAGACTGTCTAGGACTGCTGAAGTTGGAAACGTGATTGAAGGAGGGCGTATAAAATCACTCATAGCATGGAGAAAGTAGGCAGGAAGAAATTTTCCTATTTTCTCAGAACTATAGGACCAGGAACCATCCAATTAAGTTGATGGGAAAGAGATTTAGAACCACTACAATAGCAGCAGCCACAAAACCCCTTCACACTGCATATAATTAACTTCTGAAATTCATTATCCCAAAATGCATTATCCCATTTTGTAAACTAGATTACCAGACTCTTGGAGGCCTTGGTCTCCAGCTGCAACTGCTAAATGCCAGTAATAAATTTCTCTTTATCTACAATTTCATCAGAGATGAGAAGGCAAAGCTGGCTTGCATTACCAACACTTGGACGGATGCAGCGGGAGGTGTTTCCCCGCTCTAAATGTGGCCATCTAAGGTTGGGTTCAGCTGTAAGCCCATGGCAGGAGAGGAGGGGTGGCAACCATCATGCAGAAACTCTAGAGAGACACTGTTCCACAAATAATTGGATGTGAGGTCTTGTTCCGCAGGGAAAAGTTGGGACCGCTGCTGTTGTACCATCTCCTTCTGCAGAGCATATCTCTTCCTGAGCTGCTTAACTGCATCTCTGGACTGGCATTATGACCTCCTGCTGGCTTCCCCATTGACTTTGCTTGTGGGAAGCCAGCAGGGAAGATCCAAATGGTGATTATGTAACGGTGGGACACTGCAATTGTCGTAACTACAAGCTATTTGCCAAGTGCCTAAACTGTAATCACGTGACTTTGGGAATGTTGCAATGGCCACAACTTCAAGGACTGGTCAAGTTTCTCTGATTCAGTACCATCATAATTTTGAACAGGTGCTGAATATACTGCTCTGCGAGTATAAAACTTAAAATAATAGAATTGCTGGAAATCTGATTATATAATGCTAAAATTTAATAGCTGAATTAGGTAGCATATTATACAGGAAATGATCTTACCTGTGGAGCATTTGTTGCTACCAGAAAAGCATTTGTCCGACCAGGATGATCAAAATCATGCATGGCTGCTGCTACATATAAAGCCATTAATTCTAAGGCTGGAATATTTGATGCTAAATATCCATAGTTTTCATCTACAACAGGACAGCTTTTGGAGGAAACATAGGCAACATGGTCCACTGAAATATCACTTTCTGTATCTAAAATAATAATAATAAAAATAACATTTTAAGAATATTCAGTATTTTTATAAACATTTTCAGCATATCATGCAGTGGTGGGTTGCCTCCGGTTTGCACCGGTTCTATAGAACCGGTAGTAAAACTGGCAGGAGGCTCTGCCCACTGACTTTGATGTCATCAGAACGCTTCTGCGCATGCGCAGAAGAGTGCGCACGTGCACGAGCGAAGCCAAAGAGCACGCACGGCCCCATTGCGAACCGGTAGTAAAGGTAAGTAGAACCCACCCTTGATATCAAGCAATCTATAGATCTCACTCGGCTGGATCCAATTAAATATTTCCTCAATCAGGACTCTATTAGAGTAGAATTTTTGATTCTGCTGAACTTTTCTTAAAAATCCTGTAAATTACACCAACCTCTGAGTTAGTGAGACAAACTTTCCAGCACAAATGGGGGAAGGCACAAGTGATATAAATTAAAAAATATATACCTTAGCATCACAGTTCACTTTATATAATATTAAATAATTCATCCAATTCACACGATGCTAAAAATAACAGAATGTACTAAAGAGGCATATATTAATTGAAACAGGTTGTTGAATACTATTTCATTTTTCCAGTGGAATAATTTTAAAAAGCTCTAATTAAATTAAAGACTTCAAGTATTTTTAGTCTGAGGCGTTTACTTTAATAATTAAATAAAGAAGTATTACTCTAATGTATTTTAGTGGCTGGAAACATGCTGACCAATCATGCTGACCACTGCAGTAAAATATAGGCTTTATTCAGGAGAAGGGTTCCAAATGAAAACAGTTTACTTGGCTAAAAAGTAAAGTCTGTCAGCAATTATCCAATCAGTTTCCTAAAATCTGATTGTTTATATATGCCACTAAATTTAGTTTCAAGCAGGCACTCTTCAGACAAGTGTATATTTACTTCAGGTATATTTGTTTTATTCTATCACAGCCTTCTTGTGGAATAACACTACAGACTTACCCCTGTCTATTTGCTGAAATCCGGGAATTGGTCTCGTTGTCAGATACCATACAGCATGAAGAACATCTGTTGCATGTATTCTATTGTGATCTAAAATAATACAGTTTTTATTAAATGTAAACTTGCCGTTACATATGAAGACTCAATAACCCAAAGAAACACAATACAGAGGCAAAGATAGAATTCTAATTCAAGAAAAAGGGCCTCACAGACGATAACTGTATTCCCCCCTCACCTTAAACAATTTGCATGCCAGTTCTTCATCAGTTAATAGACTACCAGAATTTCAAATCCACAGCTTAATTGCACAGGGATTCAATAAGATTTTTCACTAGGCTCAATGTGTCAATGAAGATTCATCCAGGTAGAATTGTCTGGAAGTTGAGTCATGGGAACTGGACTTCTTTTTTTTTCTTCTTGAAATGTTTTGCTGCTTATCAGTCTGAAGAAGCTACTTGGATAAGCAGAAAAACATTGCAAACCAAAAAGAGAAGAAGTCTAGTTGCCATGACTCAACTAGACTCCAGATGCTAAGCTCAATGAGAATTGAATTCCTATCTCTCCTTAATATTTTTTTAGATTAGCAAAGCCTTACACATATTTGGTTTTATCTATTTTTCTTCTTATTTTTTAAAAAAATCTATTATTATTACATAATTAGTAAGATTAAGAAAAAAATAAAAGAAATAGAAATAATATACTACTAAGTTACAATAGTTTCTTACAAATATAATCTAATAAAACTCAAAGGAAGTCTCAGATTAATAAATTAGCCTAATTTTGTCAACTATTACTCACAGGGAATGTCTCGATAACCACTTTCTAGTGCTTGAAAGTAGTTCATGAAATGTTGAATTGGAATTTTGAAAATTTCAAATAAACCAGTGTCTTGAAACAATGTAAATGCAACCTAAACACATAATAGACACATATGAAAACACTATGAAAAACATTTCATTTTTAAAAGATTCTTTGAGAATGGATGTTTGTTCCCCCCACCCCCGTGCCTCTTTCTGACAGTCCACCTCAGCCTGAAGAATATGTAATGATAAGGGTGTTGAAATGGGGCTTAACAGAAGATAAGGAATCACCTTAAATTATAGCATTGAAACTATTAATGGTTTTTGTCAAAATCCAATTAATATTTAATGCTAATATAACATAAATTTGCTAACCAATCCTTAAGATTTTTTTCCTGTTAAATCTGTACAAATCACATCTATATATGTATATGCGTATTTATATACAAAAAGAGCAAATTTGAGATGTATCTCAGATGAAATATTCTTGATTGATTAACTTAATTGATTTACAAAATCAACTGATCCGTAAGTGTATACATTAATTATTCTCTCTAAATACACATAAAATATATACAGCAGAAAAAGCAGAAAGATTTATAAGACCAGCTGTAAGTAGTCATTTCTACCCTATGCTAATAACAGTTTTCAACAGCTTCTTTTATTCTTATCTATTCTCACTTCCTCCCATTCACATGAGCTATTTGAGGAAAAACATGGTTTAGTCTGGAAAACAGATACGTTTGTTTGCAAATATGCTACTTATATTTATATCAATGTCTGTATGTATTTATACAGAGAGAACAGCTTTCAAAATGCTCATATGTGTATGGTTAGAAATATTCAAATAAAATAAACAGAATTTCTATAGTAACAACAAACCTGACTAAGGATTCTTCTAGATTTATCTCCCATTTTTTGAACAAGATCAAATATTTGAAAATTCCAACTATTCATTTCCTCCATTAATGAATTATGGTTTTCTATTAACATCTTTTCTAAAGAAGAATTCTTCTCAATCTGTGACAGAAAAAATAGTAAGACTAAATAAGTACAGGAAGTTGAAAACAAACATCTTTTGTTATCATAAAATCAAGCTCTGTTAATCAGAATTCAAATAGGTACTATTATGGTTACACAGAGTAAAGGGACATTTGTATGTATTTGATTCTTAATATAAATTAAGATTATTTGGCTGTTCTGATGTAATTACTGTAAATAAATATGCAGCATCTTCCAAGATATTTCAGTTAAAAAAATATGTTCAGTCTTCATAGCATTATTTTTTTAAGATTCAAAATCTGAGGTACTTTCTTCTCCCAATTTAAAATCAATATGTATATATCCATGTATGCATGCATGTATGTATCTACTGTAAATCTCAATCTGGGCTTTGCTGAAACAATTGGTACAGATATAAGCGGATCTTTTTTGTTAGCAGCACTTATAATTCAACATTTGGAATCACTAACAATCTGCAAAAAAACACTACCACCATATACCATCCAAGACAATTATTATCAGGACACTGGGTTTCTTTGGGTAAAAACAAAGATGCTCAGAGAGTCAGAATGTTATTGCAGTTATATTGTGAGGCAAAATAATACGTAAGGCAAAGAAATATATGTAAAATGTGTTTTAATATTTTTGTATCTATATATTTGCATCTTTTTTTGATTCTGATATTTTGAAAACCTCAAGATCTATTCAAACAAAAACCAAAGAAAATAAAATTCAGTTTAAATAATATTATAATAACAGGTAAATAGGTGAAGTATAGAAGTAGTTTTTTTACAATAAAATATCAAACATCTTATTAAAACCAGAAATCAAACTATCAAGGTATGCCTGAAATAATATACTTGCATCAGACTGAAAATTCTTAGTTTGATCCATTTGACAACAGGGATTTTTTGTTTCTCCCAATTCACAGTGCAGTTTCTCTGCAAGATGGTTGGGGACTTTTGAAACTTCGCTGTTTCCATCTTCACCTTAAACAAGTACACATATTAGTAATTTAATCAAACAAATTTGTTCAAAAACATGATTTCCTAAACTGAATCCCATTATATGACTTTATAAAACATACTAATATTTGAAAAACATTGTAACTACTATAGATTGCTCTAAGATTTTTAAAACAAAATATTCAAATCTTTAAATGAATACTAAAATATCTTTTTAAAACAGAGCATTCCAGATCCGTATGGCTCCCACCCTGATGATGTTTAAGAAATTGCTGAAAGGTTGGCTGGTTTCCCAAGCCTTGAATTAGGATGGGTATTAAGTCCCTTGTGGGATTTTATCTGTCACTATGATTCTTTTGTTGTTACTATGTTCGATGCTTTATACCTCTCAGATTTAATTTAAAAATAATAACTAAATAATTCTTCATCTTCTAGTATCAGCTCCTACTGTGTTCGCAAGACCAACATTTCACTATGTTTTGGGAAGTGGAGGATGGGGAAAACATTCCCATTTTCTATACAAGAGAACTCTGCTCATGTTTTCCACTTCACACAGTTCTGGATGGAAAAAACTGTATCTGAGATTGAAATTCATAAATGTGGATCACCTGAAGTGTTTTTCATAAATTCATTTTCTCAAAGAAATAGTTTGAGAACTATTTAACAAAGGATGTTAAATATTCACATGGACAATAATCCTACCTGGTTTTTGACTTTGACATTCTGCTACAGATTCAAATAATGAGTTTGCAGCTGAGTTGAATACCTGTCGTCTGCAACTTACGGAAGATTAAAAAAAAAAACCAGAAATGTCATTTTCAATTTGTATTCACATTTTTCTGAATTTTTCTTAAATATTGTATCAATGAAGAGATATTAAAACTTTGTAAGAGTATCACTGCTGCAACTCCAATTTGGACATACACCAATATTGTTTTAGCTGCACTCAAGAAGAAAAGGGCTTCAAGGGAACATAGAGGACCAAATATTTTTAGAGAATTTTTTTTCCAGATACTGTCTCACACATTTTTAGGATATTGGAGAAGAGAGAAATGCATAAAAAAATAAAAGGCTGATGCCAACACAAAGAATCATCATTAGAGAAAGGTTACTTAGGTTCAAATAAAAGCAGCCAATATTGTATAAACCAATATTTTTTTAAAAAAAATTGCAACTGCATTCCATAGCAAACAAGTTATTATTTAACTTAAAAAAGTAGCAGGGGGGACACATACCCTAAGATGTCACACTCTATCAAATAAAGATATTATATATGCTAACTGCTTATACAAAAATAGATCATTACCTATTACAAGTATAACACGAAGAGGTTCTAACTTGTTGACAATCTGAAAAATTAAATGGGCTTCCCAGAGATTTATGTACAGTAATACTAGGTTTAGTAAAGAAATCAGCTGTATCAGGAAATTCCGCAGGTGATCGGTGGTACCCACTGGAGAGAAATCCATTACTGGGTGAAATGCCAGGACTTAGATTCTGAGAAATTCCTAAAGGGGAGATGAACAAGAAACCAAAGAAATAAAATGTTAGAAGAATAGCACTGGTTCAACAGGTTGTAGGTAAAATCTGCAACTTCTGTCTAGAAAGGTTGTTTGGAACCTCTCTTTTGATATACTTCTACTGAGTCAAGATCTTTATTTTTAGAAATGCATTCTCTCCATATGCTAAATATTAAAAAATGCTAGCTACTGATTTTCAATATATTGTGATTTCTGCTTTTATACTTTTCATGTAGTGAACTTTTAATTAAGTAGTTTTAATTTAATTTTCCACAAGAGTATCCCAGATCTATTAAGAATTATGAGTTCTTTTGCAAAAAAAATATGTAGTTCTACTTATACATTATTGTTAGAATTCGTTTCATGTTAATTCATATTTGTGTTTTTATTAATACCAGCCAACACCATCCATATGCATAAATACACACATGCACACAATGTGAGTATGATGTGTATCCTACAGCACTTGTTATCTCTGTCTGAAGACAATCGAGGCCTGAAATTTTTGAACTGTATCTGGTTACTTATACGTAATTCTTAATTTATTTATCTATGGATTCACACACAGAGATTTCACACTTTGTCCTATAGCCTTTCAGAATGTCCCAGAGCTAAAGAGGGACAGAGGGAGGAACTGGAACTATACTGAAGATTTAAACACTGTTCAAATATTAAAAGGCTGGCAAAATTTCAGCCAGCAATATTTGCAGCCTGAAAAGCTTGCTCTCAAGGACAAGCCTCTGGACTGCTTTGTAAATATTTGCAAGTACAGGTAGTCCCCGACTTGCAACCATTCGCTTACTGACCATTTGAAGTTAAAACAGTACTGAAGAAAATGACTTATGACCATTTTCACACTTACAACCTTTGCAGGATCCCTCTGGTCATGTAATCAAAATTTGGGCGCTTGGCAACTGGAAGTATTTATGACAATTGCACTGTCCTGGAGTCATGTAATCGCTATTTGTAATCTTCCCAGCCAGCTTCAAACAAGCAAAGTCATAGAGGAAACAAGATTTGCTTAACTTATCAACTGCAGTGATCATAAAATGAGGAACAACTCAACAACTGCCTTGCTTAGCAATGGGAATTTTGGGTTCAATTGGGGTCAAAAGCCAAGGACTACTTAAATATAAAAAATCTGTAACATATTTCACTTAGGCAAAATTGGCATAATGTTTATTAAAGGGGGAATCTTTATTGCCACACATGATTGTAACACCACTGTTTTGTGAACTGTGTTGGTTCCCAGTGTGTTTCTGGGGGCAATTGAACTTGCTGGTTATCACCTTTAAAGCTCTTCATAGCTTGGGGATGGGTTACCTAAGGGATTGTCCTTTCCTAGTGATTTCTACCCCTCCAATTCAATCCAGCAGGTGGGCATTCTACAGGTCCCATCAGCCATTTTATTTTAGCTACATACATAATAAGCAACGCACAGCCTTAACTTTGGTAGCAAACAGAACAATAAAAACATCCTTTATCGTTCTGCAAAATATGTATTTTATTACTTGAGCAAGCAACAAAATATTTTAATTAAAATAATCTAAGCAATTTATAATTTTAAGTTGCATAAGTGTACTGTTTTCAAAATAAACTGTATCATTCTATGGACATCCCTATAGACAACTTACAAATAATTGTTACATTCTTACCGGCTCGCCTAGAACCTGTATTGTTTGCTGAGGTCACTGAAGATGATCTTTGTTTCGGAATTGTCAACAGGTTTGTGCCAACAAGAGGCCCATTTGGGTAAGATCCTTGGCTAATTGAAAAACAGAAAAAAAAATCTTTCTCCTCTTATTTTTACTAAACTAAAATACAGGAAAGTACATTTTAAAATTGCAATTAAATGTAAGACACCTATCAATGATTACAGCCAAAGGCAGGGATATTGAATAGTAAAGATAGTAAAATAAAACAAATAGTAGTAAAATAGTAAAGTAGTAATAACCCTAAAACAAAACACTGAATGATTCTCAGGTGCAAAAGACCAGGTCCACATATGAAAGTTCAAATTAACTGATTTATTGCTAAAAGGAATCAACTAATGGTCAGTACCTAATTATACTGAGATAAGGGTCAATGGCAATCAAAGGGGTTTGGACTTAATTTGTGGCTACATAAGACTGATCCCTCTTTATACTCCTTCCCCTGGCACTACCAGTCTTTCTCCTACAATAACATCATGCTGGCTAACAAATAAACTAAAAGTTCTGATTATGGGAGAGCTTATATTAGTTGATGCCTCATTTTCACTGCTGCTACGCAGTATTTTGCTATAGTTTGGGCTATAGAGGCTTTGCAGTCTGAAAAAAGCAAGGCTCATATAAAAATGAAGTTTAGATAATTGTTCTTCCGGGATACTGATGAAGCAAGAATAAGCTATGTTTGTATATGTCCCCACAAATATAAAATAAGACATTGTTTCAATATGCCCAGTTCTTCATGGGCACATATGTTTCCAATAAGGGTTGCAAAATATCCTCTCTTCCCTGTTATAGTGCCAAAGGCAAAATATTATACTTAGCTCAGAAAAAAGTGTTCCTTAACTTGGGAATGGTAAATATGGACAGATAACTGGCTGCTTCCCAAAAATCTTTTGTCACCTAGGTGCTGCTTCCTTGTACTACCTGATACTTCCAATTGGAACTTAATATCACTCAAGTCTCTGCAGAAGTATATGCTTGGCAAGATTATATTCTAAGGTTCACATAATATTTGCTGATAACCTACAAGTCCTAAACTTTTGCTCTATGACATTGTTTCAGCTTTCAAAAGTTGCTGGAGTAGAGCAAGGATGTTTTGGGTTATAAATGAAGCATCTCATGGGGGTGACTAAGGTGTGGAGTTTGATTGTGTTTTATGGTTTTATTGTTTGGGGATTTACTGTTATTGTGAATCACCCAAAGAAATATTTTAAAATGGGAGGTGGGGGTGGGGTGGTCAAGGTATTAACTGCATCTTTGGGTAAGGCAAATATAGACCTCATATAGATCTTAGAAATTTAAAGTTTAACAAGCATTCTTCCCAATATAGTTTTTAAACAATAGTTGAGACACAGTTTTAATTTGGAAAAGACTTAAGGCAATCAGTATTTGTGTGTGTGTGTGTGTGTGTGTGTGTCCTGTAAAATTTATTCAGATTCCATCCAAACCTGGAGTTTATTACTCAGATGCTTTGAACATAATTTGCTTATAACATTTAGTAGACTGGTAGGTCTATAATTAGCTAGGCCTTCGATATTATTTTTGGGGACTTATGGTTACCTCCATTCCACTTCTTAGGAATCTTCCCTGTTCAATCAATAAATATAAACAGAGATGTCAACAAGGAGGCCTACCAGTTACAATTCCCTTTAATTATTTCAGGTAAGACAAGTTCATTATCTGGCATCTTCCCAGTCTTAACTGATTCTAGTTAGACTTTCTGCTAAGTAATTGGAGTCAGCTATCCAGAGTGCTGAAGTCATGATAAACATTTTCACTATTGAGATTAATCAGTACTGTTAACCTAAAGTTCTCCTTCTCTTGAAGGATCAAATTGGCCAGACTATCAATTAATCCACCAAAAAAAAAAAAAAAAAAAAAACAGTAATTTTGTCTGACTAAAAGGATGAGTTGGGGCCAGGCATCTATTATAGCTCTCTACTTTTTCTGCCTATGAATTAATTTATATAGTGATTTGAGGCTAGACAGAATCTGATAATGGAACTCAGAAGAATGAAGTTTGTAAACAACATTGGCAACCTTAAATGTACCTTTCTCCTAACAGAAATATTACTTAGACTTATATACCACTCCATAGTGATTTACAGCACTCTCTGAGAGGTTTATAGTCAGCAATAGTCTGGCTCCTCATTTACTGATCTCAGAAGGATGGAAGGCGGAGTTAAGCATGTCAGAATTGAACTCTAAACAGGGGTGTCAAACTTGTGTCGTCACGTTGGTATCATGTGACTTTTTTCTCCTTCGCTAAAATGGGGGATGGGCATGGCCAGCGTGTGACGCATCTGGCCCATGGGCCACGAGTTTAACACCCCTACTCTAGACTGTGAACAGAGTTAGCATGCAGCACTGCATTTTAATTACTGTGCCACCAGGGCTCTTATCTAATGCCAGATAAAATAAAATTTGCTGGTTATTGTACAAATCTATGTGGCAGTCCTGTGGGCAATAGATAGTTAAACCACAATAATTTCTAAAACATCTTGTGACTTTTGAGTCATTTGAGTTATAGCATTAGCATTTCTTTCATTCCACCTTAATCACATATTGGTGTTTAATGACTCCTAAATTCTGTGCATATCTTGCCTAAGTTTCCATCAATACATTATACATTATTGGAGCTAATATGATGGCAACTCTCTAGATGTGCTACCACCTCTAACTTTAAAAGATAAAGTAGAAATTTTGGGAGAAGTGATCCAATAATCACCAACTGACTCCCTCTATTCTCAACTTAGCTATTAATTGCTAATTAACACACTATTTAAAATGCAAAGGTCCAGGTATATGGTCAACTGTCTCAGATAAAATCTCATTAAGCTCATTAGTTCTTTGATGAAACTGAGTGGAGAGGCACCACTAGGGATTCATCCCTATATTAACATTAAAATTGTGAGTAGAACATATGACCATTATCAGTCATACTAGCATAGAAACCACACCAATTAATATAAATTGATTTTTTTTGCCATATTTGTTTGATATATTTTTCAGTGTGACTTTATTTGAGATCTATTTAGAGGTGTACAAATTAAATTGTACGTGATGTCTCAGTGCCTGGAGGCTGTGCGGATCTGGATGGGGAGGAACAGGCTCAAGCTCAACCCTTCCAAGACTGAGTGGCTGTGGCTCCCGGCATCCCGATATAGTCAGTTGACTCCATCACTGACTATTGGGGGCGAGTCCTTGGCCCCCACAGAAAGGGCTCGCAATCTGGGAGTCCTCCTGGATATGCAGCTGTCCTTGGAGGAACATCTGACGGCTGTAACCAGGGGGACCTTTTATCAGGTTCGCCTGATTCGCCAGTTGCGGCCCTTTCTTGATCGGGATTCCCTGTGCACAGTCACTCACGCCCTCGTCACCTCTCGCCTTGACTACTGCAATGCTCTCTACATGGGGCTCCCCTTGAGGGGCACCCGGAGGCTCCAGCTGGTCCAGAACGCAGCAGCGCGGGTAGTGATGGGAGCAGCATGGCGCTCCCATGTAACACCGCTCCTGCGCGAGCTGCACTGGCTCCCAGTGGTCTTCCGGGTGCGCTTCAAGGTGTTGGTTATCACCTTTAAAGCGCTCCATGGCATAGGGCCTAGCTATCTTCGAGACCGCCTGCTGCTACCGACGACCTCCCAGCGACCCGTGCGCTCCCACAGAGAGGGCCTCCTCAGGGTGCCATCAGCCAAACAATGTAGGCTGGTGACCCCCAGGGGGAGAGCCTTCGCTGTGGGGGCACCTACCCTCTGGAATCAGCTGCCCCCAGAGATAAGGAGAATCCAAGATCTCAGTGCCTTCCGCCGTGCCCTTAAAACCCACTTTTTCCAGCAAGCCGGGCTGGCTTAGGAAGAAATTTTTTTTAAAATTTTTAAATGTTTAATTGGTTTGTGGTTTTTTTAAATTTTGGGCCAAATTTATATAGATTTTAATTGTTTTTAATATTTGTATTTCATGTTTTTAATTCTGGCTGTGCACCGCCCTGAGTCCTCAGGGAGAAGGGCGGTATATAAATTGAAAAAATAAATAAATAAATAAATAAATAAATAAATTATTCGTACAAAATATGGCAGTATTGCAATTGCCTGACACTTTAAGGAAGACAGGAGAATTTATTAATCCACCCTTGGGTCTCTCACCTCACTGGGACAAACTGAGTTAATATAAAACCTACTTTAGTCTAATTCAGTTGTAACTCATTTGTAGTATAATACAAGAATATCACATTTTGAAAAATATTTGAAAAAGAAATAGTCTTTTCATTTTAACCACCGTTCCAAAATATTCCATAATAAAAAGGTGCAGATGTGGTCTTTTGGGGATAGTTGTTTTTCCTGATTATTACTGCCATTTCATGCAAGTCATCAGAACAACACAGCAGTATTAATAATTATTATAAGTGTACCTTATTCATAAAGTTCTCCAGGCACAGATACATAATTATATACTAACAGATATAGTAAAGGTTAAACACACAGAAATGCAGCTAAGTGCTATAAAATATAGCATAGAAACATAATATATTTTGGAAACATAATAAAAAGAGTTGTACTGTATCAGACCATAGGCCTAATTACTCCAGTAATCTCTTGCGAGACCAAACATAGGACATAGGCACAAGAGAATATACTTTTCATGCTCCCTAGCAACTACGTACTATTATCAATAGCTAATAAAAAATAACCACATGCTGAAGACACAGGCTCTGTTGAGGGAATTTAAAAGCAGGGATCCACTTGGTCATGCTCTTTCAGTCTGTGATACTTTTTTTTAATATTGCAATGCCTTATCTATGAAGCGAACATAAAATTTACAATGCACAACATAATTTAAAAGAAACAGAGAACCATCACCTCAAATATCTGCATGTAATCCTTGTTTAGTGACCTCAGTCAGGACCAGTAACTTGGTCATTAAGCAAAGCAAAGTGAAACCATAACTAGGCTTATGATCTTATTTCAGCTTTCCTTTGCTTACTGACCTGCAAAGATTGTAAATGTGAGGATTAGCTGTAAAGTTTCTTTTCCATCACTGTCATAACTACAAACAGCAGCTAAACAAGACAGTCGCTAAATGAGGACTAGCTATATAGCACTTTCCTTAATTCTAAGTTCGTTGCTCAGGAGGAAAGAACACCATTTGTTTGTTTATTTGTTTGTATTTTCTAAGCTGCCCATCTCCCTCAAAGAGGGATTCTGGGTGGTGAGAGAGGCTCTGGGCAGTGATTATATATTGATTATTTAAGAAATTTTTAATATTATCGATTGAAAATAATGGTTACAGCTTTGCACAATACTTATTTATCTTTTGCTGTTGCCTATTAAGAAAGAAATATTTTTGATGAATAATGACTGCAGTTTATAAATCCTGAACTACTAATAAGTATTTCATTAATATATTTAAACAAATTGTTTCCTATTAAAAAGAATAGTCCAAATTTCAAATGCTCTCCAGACAATGTGTTTAACTAGGAGATAGAATGTAGGGGAACATATTTCTGGAAAATTTTATCATTACATTCTTTTATTTATTAACTTGTCCTCTGTGCAACTCTGTGCCCATTAACTAATGCATTCTATTTCTTATAACATTAATGTGTAACGCTATAAGTGCCAGTTTAGCCCTAATACACACTGACCATGTATTTTTATCAGAATCTATCTTGAGCTGTTATTCAAAAAGAATAATTAAGAGTTAAGGAAACGTTTATGTTGTACAATTTTCACTTTAAAAATGAATAGAAAAATAGCAGCTATGTTGTAAAACTATGCCATCTGCTGTTTAAAATGTTTAAAGTACATATGAAGCATTTAGATATGGTCAGAACTCAGAAGATTTTTGAAGCCTGGTGTTTTGTTGTCTAGATAGAGAGGAGAACTTTCAATGTATTTTATATATATTTTAGATCGTACATAAAATTGCATAATATAAGCTACATGTGTCTATTAATCCTTTGATTCATTTGTCTGTTTGGAAAAAAGTTATAAATTATTGAATCATATATATAATTGTGTTAAATATAATACAAATTAAATTAATGATTTAATTTATACATATTGAAATCTTATAATAAACAGTTGGTGATGAATGAAATCTGAAACTTGTTTATTTGAACCAATCAATAATATGATTCAGTAACTATTCTGACACCCATCATTATATTTATTTAACATATTTGTGGAAAATTTGTTAATAAACTTTCTCCTGCCTATGCATTTTGGTTTCCATTATCCTTCAGCTTTTTCATGACTGATCAATTAATTAGATTCTTACAGCTTCTATATTGGTCATTCACTAATGCTTATGTCAGGGGTGTGAAACTCGCGTTGTCACGGCAGCATCACATGATGTATCAGGACTTTCCCCCCCTTCACTAAATCGGGCATGGGTGCGGCCAGCATGTGACGCATCTGGCCCATGGGCCAGGAGTTTGACAGCTCTGGCTTATGTGTATGTTCTCACTGTTTTTAAACTTTTGCTTAAATGTTTCTTACCCGGCCCAGTAAAAGACCTCTCCATCACAATTTCTTGACCTCTGTACTAGAAACTGCATTTCTAAAACTTACTTTCTCTGACTTTTATCAGTTAAGTTTTATTTTTCAGTTTACACAAAAGAACTACTAGCATGCAAACTGGAGATTTAAATATATGAGTACAATTTTTAAAAAAACAACAAAAGATGATTCTCAAGCTTAGGGAGAAATTATTATTTGTAATGCTTTTCAATAATGTCATTTTTAGGCTATCAGATCTGGGCAGCAAAAATCTAGATAATTATTGAACTGGTATTTAATTATTTGCTGTCATCTAGTGGTCATCTGGATTTCTTCAGTTCTGCTCTGAAAGTTCTTGTGGTTCTAGTAACTGCTTGGTAGCTCTTCTTATGCATTAGCTTCAACATTCTAACTTATAGGGAAAAATTTAAAAATCTAAGAATTCATTTATTAATAAATATAATTCACCTATGACATTTAAAATTTACTGGTTCTTCTCACAAGAACAAAACAGACTGTAGGCAACCTGATGGCATTCATCCCTTTTATATTATTTCTGAGAATTATCACCTAAACTAGAATGATAGAAACTGACTAAATGCTTTCAAGTGGTGCTAGATTCCTGTTTTTTATTTCACTACCCAATAAATATTATACAGAAATGACTTATCATTAGTTACAATTTCATTTAACTCTTGATGTTCAGAATTAGTGTTTGCTATTAATTACTGCCTAAAACACCATACTTTAAACATCTTGAATGAATGAAATAATGAATTTAATTATATATATTTTACATTATTTATAACATTTGAGAAATATATTGTACAATATTGATTCAATTCAATATATATGTCTGAATATTTTCTACTGTAGGTAAAAAAATACTATGAAATCTATATTGGTAATATGCTAACCTTGAAAGATTATATTCATGGTGCGACCTTTTGCCATTATTACGTTCCCATCTAGAAGTTGGATCAATAGGCAGCAAGCTTCCTAAACTTCGCCTTAACTGTGGTGTTGGTAAGCTGTTTCGGCTGCTCAGTACCTAGTTAAGAACAAGTTAAGAAAAATTATACTTTTTTCCCACAAAAAAAATCTATTTTAAATCATGCTTTGTAGTTCTCAGCAGCACAGAGATATTAGCATCATTTAATTTAAATCATTTAATTTAAATCAGCTAGATATATAATAGCTAAAGTAATTAAACTGTAAACAATTTTATCTTTAAAAAGTTTGACTACCACATTATCAGTTCTCTTTATCCATTTATTTTTCTGCCATAAGCACCACAGAGGATTGCATTTATACAAATATATTAATATTGTACTTGAGACAACACTGTCTCCAACAGTAATTGGAAGGCCTGATATGGTAACAGAAAGTTCATTTCTTAGGAAGTTTAACTTTAAACTAAGACTTTAGTAAGAGTGGAAAGTTTTCGATTTGACTGCAAATAATAGGAGTTCAGCAATTCTAACAAAGGAGAATATTTGTAGCTTGGGGTTGACATGAGGGGTCCTTGGTGCTCTGTGAGTTTGCTTGCTTTCTTACCCAAACTAGGTAACAACATCAGTGCTCTAGGTAGAATTAAGCAATTCTGCTTTTCATTACCTATAAACATTTTGCTATTTTCATTAAGGAATAGGTTTATTTTATCTTCTGTTTATTTAAAAATTCCTGAAGAAGTTTATATTGCTGTTTTTTAAAAACATTCTTTGACTACCTCATTCTGACCTTCATCCTTCTGAAATTCTAAAGTGACCAATTTACATTTATTATTTATTTATTTATTTATTTATTTATTTATTTATTTATTTATTTATTTATTTATTTATTTATTGGTTCGATTTATATGCCGCCCGTCTCCAGAGACTCAGGGCGGCTTACAATGCGTTAAACAATAGCCTTCATATTTTTGTATATACCTGCTTAGTAGGGCTTTCGGCCCCCCCTAAGCGGCGTTCTTTTTTATACAAAGTCAGCTTATTGCCCCCAGAATCCGGGTCCTCATGACCTGCCTTTTCTTTCATAACCTGCCATTTTTTTCATTTAGATCATCCTTTAATTTTTTTGTACAGCCACTTTGGCTTCTTCTGCAGTCATTTTTTTCATTATTGAAATTGTTCACAATTGTGCTTTCAGTATAGCTTTTAAAGCACATAAAATTAGCTCCTTTTCCTATTAGCTTCTCCTGTCAAACTTTGTGTTTATTAAAATCCAGAGTTCATGTTCAAGTAGCCTATTTACATTTTTTCGTAATATTTTCTCCCAATGTTTCTTCTTCTTCCAGGATGTCAATCTAGTCTCTTTTAATATCAGGTCACTAATGTCTAGTGACAGGCTCCATTTTTTAAAGGATAAAGGTGTTAACAAGGTAAGTGATGAGTAGTGTAAGTAAACAATTTGCTGCTGGAATTCCTTTCCTCATTATTGATTAAATTCTATTGAAATAATGTGAAAATTAATGGAGGAGAAGAGGAGAAATTCAGGAACATTTTATTACATTGGAAGATATTTAAATATGTTATGTACATGCTACATATTGATTACAATGGTAATATTTTAACCTTGTGCAGCTTACAGTCTCCTCTTTCAGGTGAGTCTTCCATTTCTGGACAGGAATAAAACCCCGGAAAGGGAGTAAACAGGTTAATCTTTGGCCTGCATGAACCTGAGAAAGCACTTAGTGAGTTATTGATGCTTTGAAGAGAAGAAATCACATGTGGAGGAAGGACTGGATCAGACAGAAGATCAGACACTATGCTGCGAGTCTGATTTAGTACAGAAAGATCAACTTCAATTCCACTGCATGCATTCTATATTAGAGAAAAATAATATTGGTTATTAATAATAGCTTTTATTAGTACATTTTTTTATAGAAATAAGAAATATGTCTCAGATATTCTGTAAAGGTACATACAACAATGTGATGCATAATATATTTTAACAAGTAAATATTGTGGAAATATACTGTAATATTTATCTATCTATCTATCTATCTGTCTGTCTGTCTGTCTGTCTGTCTGTCTGTCTGTCTGTCTGTCTGTCTATCTATCTATCTATCTATCTATCTATCTATCTATCTATCTATCTATCTATCTATCTATCTATTTAATTAATTTTTATACTGCCCTTCTCCCGAAGGACTCAGGGAGGTGAACAGTTAAAATAACATACATATAAAATGTGAATATAAGATGATTAAACCAATTTGATTCATCGGTTAAGAATCTTCAGCATAAAGATTTAGAACAATTAGAAGAGATTTATGCCAGCCTGGCTTGGTGAAATAGAAAGGTCTTAAGTGCACGACGGAAAGTACGAAGATCTGGGATTATTCGTATCCCTGGGGGTAACCTGTTCCAAAGGGCAGGTGCCCCCACAGAAAAGGCACAGAAATATAATATTATTTTATTATATTAAGATAATACAAAAATAATTGAAGTTTTGCTACTTATTTACAATTTGGGAAAATATTTGCAGATCTGCATAAATAAAACAGTATCATTTCTAGGCTTTTTAAATCAAAGTGAGAATAGTATAAATTTTTGGCACAATATTGCCAGATGTATTTAAATCTTTATTTTCAATTGTACAGGTAGTCCTCGAGTTATGAATGTAATGGGGCCTGCCAATTACATTCGTAACCTGAGGATATGTTGGAGTGAATCATGTAAAACAAATATGATCACTCCCTGCTTTCACCCAAGCATTCGCCAAACTAGCATGAGATTACGGCCCACAGAAGCTTCCAGTCTCAGCATAAAAAGCATTTGCAAGCCAATGGGAGGCTTGAAGCAAGGTGATTTCGCTGCCCCAAAGTCTCATTGACTTGCAAATTCTCTTGGGCTGGATGTGGTGCAGGCCTTGGTTCACTGAGAACAGAGGCCTAAAGTACTCTAGTGCAAGATCTCGCACACTGATCTCACACTACACTGCAGTAGTTTAGACCAGTGTTCTCGGCAGACAGAGACCTGCATAAGATCCATGGAAAAAGGCTTTTGCCGTGGATCTGGTGCAGGCCTCAGTTTGCAGAGAACAGAGGCCTAAATTACTGTAGTGCAAGATCATGTAAAATCACTAGCACAAGATCTCACACTACTGATACAGCATTACTTTAGGTCTCTGTTTTCCACGAATTTTTTTTTTTTTTGCACCAAAGCAGGCAAGGGAACTAACAGCTCAGTAGATCATCACAAAGTGCTGGAGACTCATCACAAGTGAGTCTCCATATGCCCAGTGCCTGTGGAGACCCAGTGGGAGGGGGCAGGGTGAATGTTGCAGTGCCTCTGTGGTCATTCGTGTGAATGACTGCCCTGGTGCTGCAACATTCATAACTTCGGGACTATGTTGTAAGTACATGGGTTAGTTATGTCATAACTTCAAATGGTCGCTAAGTGAACTGTCGTAACTCAAGGATTACCATATTTAACTGAAAGGGTGTGGCAATCTAAGTGAAATGATTTTTAAACATTAAAAAATGAAACAGTTTACAAGATACAGAGGCAAGCATTTGTTGCTACATAATATGAACATAATACAAGTAATACTGAAGTGTATCGGTTATTCTGCATTACATTTCCTGAGGCAGAAATCCATTTTTTTCAGAATTATTCTAAAATTATTCTTAATTACAAAAAATCAACAAATCTCATTCTTGCTTCATTTTGCCCATATATAATGCTACTTCATTGGATTCTAATGTCTTGTTTTCCCTTTAGATAATACAGGAAATGTTGACTTTCCAGACACTGTCCTGGAAAGCTCATAGAGAGAACCAAATGAGATTAGTTACTTATAGCAGACTAGAATAAAACAATATACAAATGAAATTCCACAACTGAAAGCAACCAAAACTAGGGTGGTGAGTGGTGGTGGGTTGAATTTATCTATGCTCCAAGGCGGTGGTGAAATCCAAATTTTTTACTACCGGTTCTGTGGGCATGGCTTGGTAGGTGTGGCTTGATGGGTGTGGCAGGGGAAGGATACTGCAAAATCTCCATTCCCACCCCACTCCAGGGGAAGGATATTGCAAAATCTCCATTCCCACCCCACTCTGGGGCCAGCCAGAGGTGGTATTTGCCGGTTCTCCGAACTGCTCAAAATTTCCGCTACTGGTTCTCCAGAACCTGTCAGATCCTGCTGGATTTCACCCCTGCTCCAAGATTTTAACCCTAGGTTTTTTCCTCTCATCTTTCTCAGTCATTGGATGTTTTCTCACTTTCTTCAAGGCAAGAAGAGGCAGTTGTATTGACTTCTCTCAAGAGAACTACTGCTACTTGCCAACTTCATTATGTCCTTCTGCTTTTCTTCTTCCCCTTCTCTTTGAGGAAGTTTCATATCCTTTTCACCCTTGCTCTCTATGGCCTTGTATCTAACTTTTTGTAATACTCATCCCTTTTCTCAACATCAGGAAAAGTAAAAGCATCTAACATGGCTGGCCTTCCTGATAAGGATGCTTAAGAGTGTACTTGTATGCAATCTAAGAACAATTCACTTGATCCACAAGAGGGTGCTGAAAGGCTTCAAATTTCTGGGGGAAAAATAGGAGGAATATAAAAGAGCCAGATACATGTCCAGCCAGCAGTAGGTAAGGGTGCTTGTTATATATCTGGCCCGAAATGGAGATATCTCAGTGGAAGCATCAACTTCACAATTATAAATTAATTTAGCCAGTTCTAAGAATGTTCCAGTTCTAAAGAACTCATGTGAATACACAGGTGTCAAAGTATTGGGGAGAGGGAAATTTCCCATGTACAAAACAGAAGTAGAAGAAGAGCCATGGAGGAAGAAATATCCTGGCTTCTGGAAAAACAACAGGGGAGGGACCATTCAGCTCTCAGGAGTAGGTTATTCCATAGGACTGTTCCATATTTGTTAGGTCAAGTAGAAGGATGATGTTTTGAGGATTGTAAATTTTGCACCCTGGGGAATCAAAGCTGAGTATCTTAGGCCCAATGAATATATCAATTGTGAGTGTGTAGCCAGTCAGTGCCCAAGTCTATCAGAAAATATACTGGAGAAACTAAATAAAGCTGTAACAATTCCTAATGATTGCTGAGTTCTAGAGGTTTGGTGGTCTTTCTAATGGGCCCTAGGTATTTATTTTATTTATTTATTTATTTATTAAATTTATATACCGCCCTATTCCTAAGGGACTCAGGGCGGTGAACAGCGAACGATAAAAATACATGTAATACAAACGTTAATAATAAAAAACCAATTAAAATATACTAAACATTCTGGTCCTAGATAATTCAAGACATCCCAGTTTAAAATAAAATCAAAAAGCAATATAAAGGGAAAGTTAGGCCAGGCCGGCCTGCTGAAACAGGAATGTTTTGAGGGCACGGCGGAAAGTGCGCAGATCCGGAATCTTCTGTATCTCTGGGGGGAGCTCGTTCCAGATGGTGGGTGCCCCCACAGAAAAGGCTCTCCCCCTGGGGGCCGCCAGTCGACATTGTTTGGCTGACGGCACCCTGAGAAGCCCCTCTCTATGGGAGCGTACTGGGCGGTGAGAGGCTATTGGTGGCAGAAGGCGGTCTCGTAAGTACCCCGGTCCTAAGCCATGGAGTGCTCTAAAGGTGGTAACTAAGACCTTGAAGCGCACCCGGAAGACCACAGGGAGCCAGTGCAGCTCGCGCAGGAGGGGAGCCACATGGGAGCGCCATGCTGCTCCCATAACTACCCGCGCGGCCGCATTCTGGACCAGCTGGAGCCTCCGGGTGCTCTTCAAGGGGAGCCCCATGTAGAGAGCATTACAGTAGTCCAGGCGTGAAGTGATGAGGGCATGAGTGACCGTTTTTAACGAGTCCCGATCCAGAAAGGGACGCAACTGGCGAATCAGGCGAACCTGATAAAAAGACCTCCCGGCCACAGCTGTCAAGTGTTCTTCTAAAGACAGCCGTGAGTCCAAGAGGACGCCTAAGTTGCGAACCCTCTCCGTGGGGGGCAATGACTCATCCCCAATAGTCAGTGATGGCACCAATTGACTATATCGGGACGTCGGAAACCACAGCCACTCGGTCTTGGATGGGTTGAGCCTGAGTCTGTTCCTCCCCATCCAGATCCGTACAGCCTCCAGGCACTGGGACATCACTTTAAGGGCATCATTGGGGTGGTCCGGGGTGGAGATGTATAGCTGAGTATCATCAGCATACTGATGATACTTCACCCCAAAACCACGGATGATCTCACCCAGCGGCTTCACATAAATGTTGAACAGAAGGGGTGAGAGAACCGACCCCTGTGGCACCCCACATACAAGGGGCCTCGGGGTCGACCTCTGCCCCCCTGTCAACACAGACTGCGACCGATCAGATAGAAAGGAGGAGAACCACCGCAACACGGTGCCTCCCACCCCTAACTCTTCCAACCGGTGCAGCATGATACCATGGTCGATGGTATCAAAAGCTGCTGAGAGGTCTAATAGGACCAGGATAGAGGAGCAACCCCTGTCCCGGGCCCTCCAGAGATCATCTACCAATGCGACCAATGCCGTTTCCGTGCTGTATCCAGGCCTGAAGCCCGACTGGAACGGATCTAGATAAGCCGATTCATCCAAGTACTGAGGAAGCTGTCGCGCTACCACACTCTCAACAACCTTCGCAATGAAGCGAAGGTTGGAGACTGGACGGTAATTAGCCAACACTGCTGGGTCCAGAGAAGGCTTCTTGAGGAGAGGCCTCACCACCGCCTCCTTCAAGGCAGCAGGGAAGACACCCTCTCTCAAGGAAGCATTTATAATCCCCTGGAGCCAGCCTCGTGTAACCTCCCGAGAGGCCAGCACCAGCCAGGAGGGACACGGGTCCAATAAACATGTGGCCGCGCTTAGTCTGCCCAGTATCTTGTCCACGTTTTCCAGAGTCACAGAATCAAACTCTTCCCAGATAATATTCTCAAGACTTGCCTTCATCCTCCCTCCCGAATCTACCCAGTCAGAGTCCAAATTTTCCCGAATCTGAGCGATGTATGAAGTGTGACATCAATTTCAATTTTAAGAGGAGGCAGGATGAATATCTTATGAATATATATATAGGTAGAATATATGTTATGGAAGTTTTGGTGAACTTGCCTGTGCTTCAAACTATTCATGACAAAAGAGAATGACTGACTCTCTATATAAAATTTCCCCCGATTTCCTGAGAAAGAATCTACATTATTTGATGCACATTTTTATTTACAGGGCAAATATCAATTTGGTATTTTTCCCTGTTAGAATTCTTTTTATATTTTACATGTACTGACCTGATGATGAGGTTTATACCATTGCTTTAAGTCCCAGTCCCAAAGAATCATCTGTAAAACAAAAACAAACAAACAGGAAGTTATAAGCAAATTGTGCATATTTGGTAACGTTCAACTCTTCAAATCATGAATTACAAATAAAAAAATTCTTCTATAAATTATCTTTATTTCCTGCATTTAGCTGCTGTACTTCATTTCAATAAATAAAAAGTGAATATAAGGAGGTTCCTGGAAAATAGTTAATTAGTTAACTAATTACAGATTTCTTTCTCTGTAAATATTTTTCAATATATTCATTAAAAACTATTTATTTGTTCAATTTATATAGCTGTCCATATATGACTCTGGGCAGGTCAAAACAGGAAAATATAAAAAAGAATACAAAAAAAGATAACAACAATAATCAAAATAATCCAAAATAAAAGACATTAAAACCATAAAAAACACGTTACAAGAGTAACACATTCAAAATTAAAAGTGTAAAAAAACCACATATGACCGTTTAATCCAAGCTATTAATAGTATAGAAATTTAACAGGATCCACACCACCAAAATATTGTTTTCCATTTCACATTTAGAGAGAATGGGATAGGCAGATGAACTTTATTTGCATAGATAGTTTTCACTTTATTATTCATTTCCAAGTTCTCATTTTTCAAATTTCAATAGAAGTTTATGTATTTTAGCAATCACGTGTTCATCATTTATACATAATTCAATTTCAAACTCGGTCTTGCAATATTCACAACCATAAACTCTTTTGTTTACTTTAAGTCTTTCTAATAGCTGTAAATAAGAAAACATTAGAAACTATTATTCTTCTGCCATCAGTTCTCTTGATTTTATCTTATAGCCCATGTTTAATCAAACTCATCTCTTGCTGACCCCCAATAACACTCCAGATCAGGGGTGTCAAACTGGCGGCCAGTGTGTCACGTGCAGGCCACACCCACCTCAGGTCCGCAAAGGGAAAAAACGTTGCAAAACATCACGTGACAGCAATATGAAGCTGCAAGTTTGACACCCGTGCTCTAGATGTGTCTTCTCATGTATCATCTTCCTCAGCATTAACCATGGATAGCGATAGGGTCCATAGTAAGGGAGAGGTCACATGGATGCAATCCAATCCAAGGCCCACAGTGGCTCTCTCATTAGTGGCAAGTAAGGCCTTAGTCAGATTGTGCAAGCAGACCATCAGATACAACTGTCAGGTTATAAGAAATAATGGTCCTGCTTTAGTCAATAGCACCTGGAATATTAGTTGCTGATATCCTGGGCACTGCCGTTTAAAAAACATGCTGAGAAATTAGAATGTATGCAGAGAAGGGAGACTAAGTTGATAAGGGGCCTAGAGATCAATCAAATAAAGAGAAATTGGAAACAGATAACTTTTGCTTGGAGAAGAAAGAATTAAGAAGTGATTTGATAACCATCTTCCCACTAGATCTGGACAGGTAGACATGATCCAGGTCCCCTCAGTGAAACAATGTCATCTACTGTGGTGTCTGTCATAGCACCTGCCTTAAGAAGAAGCCTCACCCCAGACATACAGATAGCCCTGACCCTGTTGGGCCTGTAGGAAAGCAAAAAGCTTTTTCTGAGGCACTAGGGAAAGGATATTGATGGACCTGGCATAGGATGAATGCAATTGTATTTGGGCCTCAGCCTTGTTTATTTTTTTAAAGGTTCTTTTAGAATGGAATGGAATGGAATGGAATGGAATGGAATGGAATAGAATAGAATAGAATAGAATAGAATAGAATAGAATAGAATAGAATAGAATAGAATAGAATAGAATAGAATAGAATAGAATAGAATAGAATTCTTTATTGGCCAAGTGTGATTGGACACACAAGGAATTTGTCTTGGTGCATACGCTCTCGATGTACATAAAATAAAGATGCATTCGTCAAGTGCATTATGTTTTTATTTTGTTTGCTGCCTGTGTTAGATGGGATGCTGTATAAGTTTCTTTAATAAATATACTGTGAAGGATTTTTTTTTGGTGAGAACTGTAGGTCTTAAACCACATTAAAACAACCACAAAGGATCTAATTTACATTTTATGAGACAAAATATCAGAGAATGGAAGATGATGTGGGGGCAATGAAAAGCTGGATTGCTATGTTTTACAGTATTACAATTCTGAATTTCCTGCAGCAGCTAGAAATTGAACTAGTGAATCTTTGAGCTTCATTCTGTGATTCTGGATGTAGGCAAAGATATTCTTTTCAAATGTTAAAGAAGTTTCCACAAGGTGGTGCTCAAAACGTAATTCTCAGAGAAGTTATTACTTAATTTAAATTCATGACTCTTGTTTTTTATTCAGTGAAAAATGAGAATACTAAAGATGCTACTTAAATAAATGTAGCTTTAAGACTTGATCAGATTGACGCCTTCCTTTATTATTTTTATTATTAGATTTTTATTTATTCTTTATTACTTTATGAGTTACACAAGGCACTGAATCAAACCTAATACCCCTTCCTCCTCCTCTTTTCCTCACAACAACCCTGTGAGGTAGGTTGGGCTGAGAGAGAGTAAATGGCCCAAAGTTACCCTGCTAGCTTTGATGCCAAAGATGGGATTGTCAGAGAGGTATTTTTTAAAAAGCCTCTCTGACGATCCCAGCTGAGTTGCCTGATCAGCAGAGGCTTTTCAAAGCATTAGAAAAAATGCTTTGAAAAGTTAAAAAAAAAAAAAAGTTGGCCACGCCCACCCAGTCACATTACCCACCACCACCACCAAGCCACGCCCACAGAACCGGTAGTAACAAATTTTACATTTCACCCCTGGACCCATCTCTTTTTTATTATTGCAAAATAAAATAACATCACATCATAATCACTAGTACCCTTTGATATTTATTGATTTGATTTATAGCAGTTTCTTCAGGAATTCATGGTGGCTTACCTAGGAATCTGCCTTTATTTTATCTTTATCAGAACAACCATATGAGATAGGCTGAATTGACACCCATGCAATTTCTATGGCTAGCGATAGATTTGAACATGGGTCTTCCAGTTTTAGTCCATTACCTAATCCATATTGACTCTTTACTGTACTATTTAGACAAAATATATAATATCAACAATCTTTTCATGAGATAGGGGACTGTGAGTTGTAGTCCCATCTTTGGCATCAAAGCTAGCAGGGTAATTTTGGGCCATTTATTCTCTCTCAGCCCAACCTACCTCACAGGGTTGTTGTGAGGAAAAGAGGAGGAGGAAGGGGTATTAGGTATGATTCAGTGCCTTGTGTAACTCATAAAGTAATAAAGAATAAATAAAAATCTAATAATAAAAATAATAAAGGAAGGCGTCAATCTGATCAAGTCTTAAAGCTACATTTATTTAAATAACATCTTTAGTATTCTCATTTTTCACTGAATAAAAAACAAGAGTCATGAACTTAAATTAAGTAATAACTTCTCTGAGAATTACGTTTTGAGCACCACCTTGTGGAAACTTCTTTAACATTTGAAAAGAATATCTTTGCCTACATCCAGAATCACAGAATGAAGCTCAAAGATTCACTAGTTCAATTTCTAGCTGCTGCAGGAAATTCAGAATTGTAATACTGTAAAACATAGCAATCCAGCTTTTCATTGTCCCCACATCATCTTCCATTCTCTGATATTTTGTCTCATAAAATGTAAATTAGATCCTTTGTGGTTGTTTTAATGTGGTTTAAGACCTACAGTTCTCACCAAAAAAAAATCCTTCACAGTATATTTATTAAAGAAACTTATACAGCATCCCATCTAACACAGGCAGCAAACAAAATAAAAACATAATGCACTTGACGAATGCATCTTTATTTTATGTACATCGAAAAAATACCTCTCTGCCTATCAGGCAACTCAGCTGGGATCGTCAGAGACTTTTCAAAGCATTTTTTTTACCACCTCTTCTCAGCTGCATCGCGCGATCATCAGAGGCTTTTTTTTTTTTACTTTTAAAAGCATTTTTTCGTCGGAAGAGGTGGTAGAAAAAATGCTTTTAAAAATAATAATAAAAAAAGCCTCTGATGATCATGCAGCTCAGCTGGGCATGGGGGGGGGGTGGGCAGGGATTTTTGCTACCAGTTCTCCAAACCACCCGTCGCCATCACTACTGGATCGGGCGATCTGGTCCAAAACAGGAGCATTTCACCCTGGATGGGTCTCATTTGAATGTGAGGGTACCAAATTGCTGGCCTTTAAATAAAGAAAATGGTGGAGCAGTTTTAAATTATTTCCCCACTGAAAGTTGGTAAAATGTGAAGAACATCTGATTTGAAAAGTACCAACTTTAAAGGATGTTGGAGATCTTTGTCTTTGTCTTTCTGAAAGTTAAAAATGAGAATAATTTCAAAAGACACATGATTGTCCTGCCTAGAGGACCGATGAAAGGGTTAATAAAATGCTGTCTATCTTCCATGACAGAAGATAAATGACTAAAAGGAAACCATATTCCAAATAATAGATGTTTTATAGACGTAAAGAACAGGTTGATATGCTTAGGAGGTGATGATAATATTAGTAGGTAAGACATAACAAAAACAAAACAAAATATGCTACTGCAACAGAACTACAATCCCAGCCATTTCAGAATTGGTCATGCTGCTTCATTTCATGAGATCTTGAGTAAAACTTTGTTCACAAATCCACCTGGTCTTTCTGCCTGCAACAAGAGCCTCAAGTGCCTGCAGAATGATCATTTCAGCTGCTCTATAACATTTCTGAAGTAGAAAGAACACAGGAGCTTTACTTATTGATTCTCTGGATAAGGTACCTGCAAGCACAACTATATTATGGTAGGAGTGATGTCAAGCACTTTTATTGCTTGAAGTGGTTTTCTCAAGAGCTGTAGATCTCTTGAACAGATGTGACTGAGCTCTAGCACCAATGATTATGATTTCATCTAGGCCACATAGGGCATATTAGGGGAAGATTCAGCCCATGGATCAAATCTTATATTCCACCCAAAGTTCATGTTCTGTCATTCAGTTGCTCTCAATTTTCAGTTGCTCTCAATTTTGATCTAATCTGTGATCAATGATCTGATGA